TGATATCGCCTCAAGCGAGTACGTGCTAGAACTTCACGAGTCTGAAACCCGGCTTTCACTGATTGATTTCAGTCCAAGACTATTTCAGTTGTATGCGAAAATTCTGAAGAGATATTATCTTATTGTTTTCTTATGACATCACGACAAACAAACGCCTTAAAAGACCTTTAACTTTACCTTTGTATCCACTTCGCCCACTCGCGCTTTGTTGGTTGTCAAGGAAAGACTGAATGGCTTGCCCTCCAGTAGGGCGTTGCCAAGGATAAATCGGTCACGTGACGGTTTGTTGCAAAAGGCCTATACGCCAGAAATACATACAAAAACGTCTACACATTCAGAATATTTCAAATTACATATGTCTATCCTGAAAGGAAAAAGAAGTGTCCTAACTTTTACGGAATGTTCAGTCAAAATCTGCCGATTTCTGCCGCTTTCACCGCCATACTGAAAATAGCGCTACCACAATGGAACGCAACCGGAGTGCGCACACTACGAGTCCATCTTACACTGCATTCATTTCTAACTTCCTAATTTGTAATGAGCATTAAAAAAAGAAACTTCATTACAAAATAAAATTTCCCCTTTAATTTTCATCGCATGTGTTAAATAATCAGACGAGTTAATGATCATATTGAGTGCAGTAGAGTCAACTTACTGATTTTGTATTGTGGTTGAAACCTCCCGAACTCCAGTGCACAACAACTATGTCCGCTGCATTGGGTACGCAACACGGTTGCTTGGCTCAAGTGAAAGTGTTAGTTCAGGTAAACCATATGTACAGTTGATGGGTTAGCTGCCATCATTGATTCAGAAAAGGGAAATTAAGAAATTTTTATTTACAATAATACGCTTAAAAGCTTCTTGAGAATTCAGGCTGATGAAGTATGCGGTGACACATGCCACGAGAGAGACGTATTCATGATTCAAAGAACAAGTACTTACTGGACCTTACTAAGACCTGAGGAAATTAGAAACATTTGGAACCTGCCACCGCGGGACTTAGATATATCCAAATTTTCGTTATCAGAAAAGAAAGATTACTTTTTTATTAACAGATCTAAACTGTGGCAAAACATATTAATTATCTATTCACAAAGTATCCATTCCTTTTACCAAAATGGCAGGGTGGAAAGCCAGGTCAGAAAAGAGACTTAAAGCAGGCCTTTTTTGGTAACAAGAAATTGTCTTCAAATAAGATAGGTGTGGATCATGAGGTGGGTGTGGATCATGAAAGCCGCTCTCTGGATTTTGTTCCTAACTCTATCGAAATTCACGACAACTACCGCCTACAACTGTGTAAATGCTGTTATATTGACTCCTGATAATTATGGAAACATATTTGGTGCGATTTCCCCTTCAGAAGAGTTTAAGAATCGTTCTCTCAATATTTGTCACTGACAACATGACGGCCATTTTGGAATTATCACGAGAACAGACACAGCTATCGCCAAGCGTGTTTGGGAAAGAAAGTTTCTTCTAAGAAAACTTGCTTATTATAATAATTCTATGGCTGTCCATGGCGTACTCCTGCTGATAGCTGGTGATATTGAGAGAAACCCTGGTGATAACCGAGCGAAATGTCCTGAATGTCAAGGAACCATTGCTGTAAATCATCGAGCGGTATGTTGTAGTATATGTGATAACAAATATCATATAAAGTGTGGGAATGTAACTCCTAAAATGCATAATAACATGGCTCTGACTACAACTGTCTTATGGAATTGCCATTTATGTCTATCAAATCTCCTCCCGTTTGTTTCATTGGGAGATAAGTCTTTAACTGATCTATTCGACCATCAAGATCAGCCGACTGATATCTATAATAGCTCACACATTTCCTCGAGCACTGAATCGACGATTAACAATGCAGGTTCTAGGCAATGGTACAA